GGGGGGGGGGGACTCACTTCTCTCCGGTAGTGGTCACGGTCAAGACGCCATACTCCTTCTTGGCGGTGACCAGCCAAGCAATCAGCGAGACAACAAGACCGAGTGGAGGCGACGCCGCGGCAGCGATCCAGTTCTGGCCCTTCCAGAGCAGAGTCATGGCTCCAGGGAACACGGCGGACGAGATGATGACGCCCATGAGCAGATAGAGATAGCCCATACCGACGCCAGCGTAATAGAGTCCCGTGGCAAATGCAGCCATGATGATCGAATACACAATGCAAGACATGTGGGAGATCCAAACCAGCTTCTTGCCCTTGGCAGTGGGGTCGATGTAGGCCTGGTAGATGTCATAGGTAAAGATGGAGGAGACGGCAATCAGCTGCGCGGAGAAGGCCGAGGTGACGGCCATGAAAATCATGAGAGTCGTTGCAACAGCGCCGCTATGCCCGAGAAGCTGCACAGCAGCGTATGGCAGCACGAGGCCAGCAGTGACATCAGTGGAGCTGATCCGTTGGGACCCCTCCAGGGCGAGAGCAGAAATGCCCATTGTGCTTGCGCAAAGCCAGGGGATGGCAAACCAGCAGAGACCCCCGATGATATAACCGGGGAACGCATGAACTGGGCTGGCGGCAATAGCCTTGTTGTAGTATCCATTGTCGAGGAAGACCGTCCCAAAGTTCCCGACCAGGTTGATCACCCAGAAAATGCCCCCATTCTTGGATCTCATGGTCAGGTAGCTGCCCTCGGCATTTCCGGCCACGGGGTGAGCCTTCGCTGCGGCTACCAGAGCATCATATACCTTGCTCGGAGAGCCAAGGGTCTCGTTGGTAGCGTAAGCAGAGAACGAGAATAGAAAGATGACGACAATAATGACGACAGTGTGCATGTAGTCGGTGATGAAGGTGGCCTTGATACCACCAAACAGAGTATAGAGAACCACACCGATGGGGAGAAGGAAACACGCTGCAGGTGTCGGCACTCCAGTCATGGAAGTCATCACAGCAGAGCCACCCGTGAGCAGCATGGCCGTGACCAGGATGTTGGTCATCAAGCAAAACACGATGAAGACAGCATGCACTACGGTTCCGTAGCGAGCATGGATTGCCTCCAAGAATGTATGCGCATTCGGAGCCCGTCTCTTCAACTCTATGGCAAGCGTTGCGAACAAAAGGATCTGGACAGTGGCGCCTAAGATCGATACCATCAGCCACCTGGTTCTCAAGGGATATCCTAGACCTGCTGCCTGTATGACTAACCTGACGCATAGAAGAAAGGACCCGAAATGCCATATTCGTAGGCAACGGACGAAGACTGGAGAAGCGTCGCAGCCCAAGTCCAACTACTGACGACCGCAGCAGCAACCAACCCTGACTTAACGGAGCGTCCAGCCGTGGAGAACATTTCCGAAGTCTGAACTTCATGTTGATACCTGGGAAGGATATGTTAGTCGCTGTCAACAGTCTTCTGAAGCAGTCCGTCTGTATTGCTGACCGTTTGAGAGCCCAAGTGATGAAGATCATGAGCAGGGCAAAGGCAAAACCCAGGCCCAGAATGATGCCATAGCCGAACCCTTGAGAAAGGGGGGCCTCGAAAACCACCGTTCCAGACGACATTGTAGGCAAGCAAGTCGAAATCCAGAGAACAAACCAGTAGGCGATGGGATTTCCTTGTAGATCAGGCCTCTAGAAGTCCTGGGAGGTGAACGGCTCATATAGAGCGCAGCTCGACACTGCAGATCCTGTACCGGCTCCGAATTCGCAGACATCATCCTGACCTTGACCACTGTTGATATCCTATAATGCCTGTGAATTGAGATAGGGACTACAGCCCGATAATTCCCTGGTCTGATAAGAACCTTCTTTGCTAATTTTGATCAGGTCAACCTACCAGGGAACCAGGGCACGGTGCACCCAGAGAGGTCCACAGGGGGGGATCTGAAGGCTTGTTCTCTCCACAGCCAGGCGGCTTCCAACTCCAGGATCGGCTTGACCGCGCCATCGATAAGAAGAATACTTGCGTTTCAGTATCATGTCATGAGTTATTGGTGGTTGTGGATGTCGAAAGTCGTCCTTATCAGTACCTTTTTCTCACGTGATCTAAGCAGTAAAAGAGGCTGTCTGTGATTGGCTGCAAAAACGCGTCGAGATAACAGCACCCGTGTTTCATGCCTCAGGCAGCAAAGGGTCCTCGGCCGTCCCCGCCGCGCTGATAACGCTTACTCGATACACCCACTAATGAGAAACCAATTCCATTCCGTTCGGAGTACTCCAGACTACTACTACGGAGTAGACGGAATCCACAGATGGACAGTGCATATCCCACACTGAGGTGAGAGCTAGCAACCAGACAAGGGGGGGATGTGGATGGTTGGGGGAAGGCGTTGAAAGGAGTCTTGGCCGACCACGGGTGAGTCCCTCAAGGCCGTCAATATATGGCTTCCCGATTATCAGCGATGGTTACATCGAGATTTGTGGCGATTATGCAGTGCGAGTGATGGAATGGATTCTCATGCTGACCAAAGGACTCCATGCAGGGACTCCGTCCTGACGTTGGGGCCTTGTTCGGCCATATCTTGCGTACTAATAGTGTGCTACACCTCTCCCGGAAAACCGATAAATTTTCATCAGATGGAGGGCCAATCCCATTCCCAGTATTTTTCATGATATCCCGGAGGGTACATCTGATGCTTAGGTAGGGGATGTCACCCATCTCTTAGACAGGGAAGGCGAAAAATATCACATGAATGGAGGATGAGAACCAAGCCGCCAATTGAGTCGTCGAATGGTTTCGAATCTGTGGTAATCCACCCAATCGCTTTGCCCTCTGGAAGGCTACAAAGGAGGCAATTCAAACAAGCCCAGCCGCTAGAAGAGACTAGTTTCAGAGATAATCTACAGGCAGCTTTATGGTTCAAGGTCAGAGCATATGCATTGAGTATGACTATATCCACTCCAACTGCATACGGCAACCAGCTTCAAAACAAACTGTTCACGGACTGGACATATATCTTTTATCTCGACTCGTCATTTGACCAGAGCTTCATAAATGACAATATGCCATTTGACATGTCCTATATACATAAATCTAGCACACTTTTCAATCTACCAAGAGTCCTAAGCAGCTCAATTCTTCACCAATTACCTCTTAAGTTCACTAGCTTACCCAACAGGCGCCCTTGAACATGGTTATCCTGTCGAGCCTGCCTGGTTCTGAGCGTAAGAAAAGAATGGATATGCTGTCGTAGGACAGAGGGGAACTGTCTCATACACAAAAAACCACTGATAGTGACCATTCATGAAATAAATGTACTATACGCTATAGATAGAGAAAGGGATTTCATGGCCTAGCATAGTACGCCTGAGATATCTTGGAGAGGAAAATGATGCATGGTTGATGACTAGGGTTTTTATCCATGGTTCTTTCTGCTTTGGCCTACGCCTACTGCATCTAACCTCTTCAAACCACTTCAAACCACTTCAAACCACTTCAACACCTCATCAACACTACTTCCGCACCACTTCAAAACCAAAACTTGCAGGCTGCCAAAAATGACTTCAGATAATCTGACCGAAGCTGTCTCTCCAGGAGATCTTATCCTAGTCCACGCCTCTAAAGCAATAATGCTCACCGTCAAGTCCGCCCCAGACACTCCGAATCCACAGACTTCATCCATTGTCGTCCAGGAGGTCGAGTGCCACATTCCCCGTCAGCAGGGATACTGGATCATGGACGGACCAAAGGTTGAGATGGTGGAAGGAATCGAATCAGAAGAGTGTTTTTGTAGAGGAAGTCATGAGAACGACAAGCCAGAAACCACCCTGAAAGAATGCTTGGATGCTGCCACCGGGCAGGAGATACAAATCTTTGTCAGACCTCATGGAAGGTACCTGAAAACATCCATCCATCACTTGCCAGTCATTTGGTATTCTCTTTTGCTAATATTTCCTTCAAGAGACGTTCTCAAATACTACTTCAACGGCGCATGCCCAGAGTGCGGAGGAAGGAGTTGGTCCTGTCCCGGATGCGGAGGGTATGGCATTCGATTCCCTGATATCTTCGGCAGCTGTGGACGAGATCAGTCTTGTCCGGTTTGTCTAGGACACGAATTTGCTTTGGAAGACAAGCAAACGCACAGGGACCTCGAGACTCTCAGTAGCAAGCGCTCGGCTCCAGTCCTTTCCGTGGACGAAAAGATGCAGATCCGGGAGGAAATTCTTTCCACCAAGAGGAACAGATACGAGCTCATCAATGCCCGGAAGCAGGAAATGGGAATGCCCACGGAAGACATTGATAAGTTGATACAGGACGCTGAAAGGTGTCTTGATGAGTTCCCATGAGTATCAAAAGGCAGAAGCGCCAGCCCAGCATGCCCCGTCGCTAATAGATATTGAATGACTGTCTCTGGCTGGCCAGTCATTCTCTTTTCAAAGGCTGTATCTCTAGACCAAAAGCATAGGTGCCAGAATGAGTAGAAAAGTTTCTTCTTCTTCTTCTTCTTCTTCTTCTTCCCATATCGCTTATTGTTTACACATTTAAGGTCTAGAATAGTGAGAATCTCCAACGTTAAACGTGTCACTGAATCTTTAGACAGTATATAGGACTTATAAACAACAGAGAAAATGGATTGATGAAGGGATGAAATGGGGTACTATACAAGAGGGTAGTAGAATATAGATTATATGAACAGAATAATAGACTCTATCTTCTAGTTATGTGATGATACACCGGACATCATTCAGCACTCTCACTTCTCCAATATAGACAAGACGCGCGTAATGCGCCAGGATGAATATGTGAGGTGCTTTAGCAACGGAGATAATATGTGCAAACGTGGCCCTCGAGGTCTGAATCCTAAGCGGTGTTATTAACATGATTACCGGGATATAAAATGCTGAACCATCGGTCCTAAGACACGGACTCTACAATACGAAGAAAAGAAAGAAGAATAGAGAGAGAGAGAGAGAGAGAGAGAGAGAGAGAAGGGAGGGGGGGAGAATAGGGGCATAGAATAATAATATAGACAGTTGAATGGGGAAGACTAACTAGGTAGTTAATATAGGATGTTGGTGGTCCGAATCGTGTGTAGGGTACCGAGATGGGAGGGAGGGCTTGCGGAGCCGTTATTCGAAGCATGAAGAGGAAAAAGTTGCGTATATATATAATTCTGTTCATGGTATGCTTCGATATCGACGTTTCGGAATAGGACGCGCGCGTATATATAGATATAGGTGGATAGGGATATGATGTATAGAGGCGTGAGAGATCAGTCGTGTTTAGGATCTTCAGGAGTCGGCTCCAACGGAGAAGGCATGGGAAGTGGTCTAGGAAAGGATGTGGGAAGGGATTCGGAGAGCGGTAGAGCGTCCTGGAAGGGAACAGGGGAAGGCATGGAAGAAGTAGTAGTGGGTGGTATCGACTCCTCTGGTGGCGAGGTAACGCTGATCTTGTTGAAGTTCTGCACGAGCTGCTGCATGGTCGCTGCGCCGGGATCGTCTAGGGACAGTTTGAGGTCTACAATGAAGCGACTCAGGACCTCGTAAGAAGATGGTTGCGTGTCGCTCTCGGCCTCGAGTTCGGTGCGTATCAGTTGTGCCTCTGCTGCGGTGATGATGTTACTGCTCCGCGCCATGCCAACGATGCTCTGCGCTACGCTGCCAGCCAGTCGGAAACTCCGGGCTAGGCGTTGGTAGCCACGGATACAGAGCAGGAAGTAGAAACGAGATTCAGGGTTGGACGTGTCTTTCAGGACGTGGTTCGCGACATACAGCATGGCCGGGTGCCAGATGATCGCGGTGGTCGCAGTCTTGCTGTTGGACCGATAGATGTAAACAAGCCTTTGTAGCTGTCGAATTGATGCAATGAAGATGTCCCCCGGTCGTGTGCGCGAGAATTCAAACCCTGCTAGGTTTAAGTGCTGGGGTGATTGAACAAATGGACGAAAGGTGTCTAGGATGGCGGTATGGTACCAGATACTAAGCTGTTAAGAAGATACAAAAAGAAAGGAGGGAAAGAGCAAAGCACGTACTGAAGGTTTAGGACGTGATGCGGATTTTTGTCGCTTCGAAGCAGTTCTGGAGATAGGTTGTCGGCCCAGTTTAAAAGCCGTTGATAGATGGAATATGCGTCGTGGAGAGTGATAATTTTGGTAAAGGGTTTATGGTTATAATATAGTGACACCATATCATGAACAATGATAAAGAAGTGGCATAAAGCGGGGAATGTCTTGCCCATATAGGGAGGAAGCTCATTGTTTGGCAACATCGAACTACTCGAGCTTTGCCAGTCTCCAGGTATTGGATAGGAAGGAGGGCCGTGTATATGAAATCGCTCGTGAAAATAAAAGGACATGACCCTGATTTTGTTAGAAGGTGTGAGAGAGAGAGAGAGAGAGAGAGAGAGAGGCCAACGTTAGATAATTAAAACTGCCCCAGGCAGTGGCAGCACGGCAGCGCTGTAAGCCAGGGATTTTTGCATCATCCTCGAGGGTTGGAGGTATTGGGTCAAAAAGGTGCAGTCGCTGGGCCATCTGGGAACTTTCCTGAAGGAATTCCAAGCCAACAGCATCGACTCCAAAGCTGTTACATGCTATACTCAAGAGGAGCAGCGCTTGCACACTGGGAAGTGAGTCCTGCGTTCGAGCAGTCTGCCAGTTTCTCAGAGCTTCATAGTAGCAAGCGAAGCTGAGATGCGATGCATACGGCATGATGGCCGAATAGGCTTGCTATCATGTCTTAGCACAAGAGGGCGAGACAATCATCGAGGAGAAGAGAGAGGGGGAGGGGTTAGCTAGTCAGACTGGGCGGTCTTACACAAGCATAGCTCAGAAGAGCATTCACGAGGAGTTCCGAGCAGAAGTTGAGGCGACCCGATACCAGGTCATCGACAAACAGGTCGGCATCCAAAAAGGCTAGGACGGGCTGCTCGTTTTGAAGGAAGAGGGATATAGCCTCTGCTGCAAGCTCGTTGCTGATCGAGACATTGGTCCAGTAACTAATCTGAAGCCTTCTTAACCGGGGGTCGACCAGCTCCCGCAGCCCCGTTCCCCCCAACATGAGACTTTGCGGGTCGATTGACGATGGTGGTACAGACTGTGCATTTTTCTGATTGCGGAATTTAAAAAGAGGCTTGCAATTCAGCAAGTCGAGATCAATATTCTCCAGGGTCAGCGGTTCGAGCCGTGGGTACGAGCTCGAATGTCGAGCGATGAGCTCAACCTCATAGATTGAGCTCATGGGCGGCAGAACAGCGCTTGCAGCCTTCCCCAAGGACGGGGAATTGGTCGCCAAGAGGTTTCCCTGGATAGTAGCGAGCGCAGTGCTTGGGTCAGGGGCCGTTTTCAACAGCTGCAGAGCGCGGATGGCCTCCTCCTCGGAAACCGACTTGAGCAGCTCGTAGATCGCCGAGAGATCCCGCGTCTGATCTCTAAGGCTGTCATGATCCTGTCGAAGGGCTCTCGTCCGTCTGCCGTCGCTTTTCAGGTCATACACGCACTCGGTTTTCCTGGTGACACAGGCCACACACTTCGGCAGACCACCATTGCACTGATCACGGAGAGTTAGCGCTTCGATCTTCGGCGAACTACCGGTATCGAACAGGCCCTTATTTTATCAAGGAACTACCGGGATGCTCTGACCCACCTTGGCTCTGCGCTTTCTGCACGCGTTGCAAGCCCGAGATGCGTAAGTCACCGGTCTCAGTGAAGGCGCCGAAGGGAGGTGCTGCGCCGACGGCGCTGGTGTTGGACTGGACAGGGCGGTCGATCGGCTCCTCCCCAGGCCAGCACCAACCGGTGGGGGGGTCATGGTGGTCGAAAGATACCTCCTCGCTCTAGAACAGGGCGAGAAGCTGGAGCTGATCGGCTCAAAAAAACCTGACCAGGTCCAGGACTTTGTCTTTCCCCAGCGGTTCGATTGGGTTAGCGGCCTCGATGACGCAGTGTTTTCTGCAGAGTTCAGCGGATTAAGGGAATGGCACCGTGCACGTGCATGGCACGTGATTTATGCCTCAGGCAGGATTATTTGGGCAAAAGCAACGAGTATCTTATTTTATAACTTTAATATTAAAATAACGGTATATATTCATTACGCTAAATAATAGAACTAAAATAACCGATCACCAGGATAGAGTCAACTAGTCGTTTTTCAAATCAGAAAGTAGTACCCTTGCCAATCAATCTAACGCCGTCATAAATCTTCATCTTTTTGATCATCGTGTCTAGGCAGCGACGGTATTTCCAGTGGGTTTCGGTTGGTATTGCGAAAAGGTTTCCGGCCAGAAAATCATCTTCTCCTCTGTGGGGGTCGCGGCGATGAACTTGGGGATCTAGACCGATCAGCATCAGCGCATTGAACCTAGGCAAGGTATAGAAGGGAATTCAC